CAAACTCCCTCTTCTGGGGACTTTGAAAAATGCAAATTTTCCTTGTATTTTTCTTCTCAGACTGTGCCATATAGAAAAATTATACACAGAAATCCAGAAGATGATTATAGAGGGTTTCTGTTTTGTTCTGTTCTGCTCTGCTGCCTCGCAAAATTATTATTTAAAAACATAAAATGAAAAACGAAATTCAGTATTTCAGGTCCAGAGACAGAGAGGCACAGGCCCCCACTTTGAGGCACTTTTGTTTTTTTTCCCATTTTTCTTCTCTTTGATTTACCCCTCTTATTTTTTGGATACAAAATTAAATTAAATGGTTGGAAATTCAGCACGTATTTGAGGGCAACCATATCTTTCAGATTGTTTCCTATCTTCCATCTGCCGGTTCTTATTACAGCCAATCTACTGTCACAACCCATTATTAACCCTTGTGGTCCCATTTTCCTATTTCTAAATATTTTATTATCTAATTTATTCATATGAAATCCTCATAAGATGTTTCCAAGATCTACAACTTTATAATATATTTCTATTTTATTTTTGAGCTTTTGTTCACTCCCCTTTTTCCCACTACATTTGCCTCTTTTAGGCCACTGTCGGGCCCCACCTACTTATGCATCCTTATTTTGGTCTTAACTATCACACTCTGCAGTTTGTTTATTGGCTTAATGAGATTTCGGGATTGATCAAGTGTTGTGCAAAGGATATATACTTGTACCGGGTGGATTTCACCCGCCACAAGTAGTATTGAAGTGAGGATATCAAAATGATTCTTTTTCACATAATTATTGGCTTTTATAGATTCTTCTTTTCTTTATGAATCATGTACAATCGATATTATTGGGATTGGCTATGTAGCTATGTTGCTTCGGGCTAGGGTTCATTCATTGGCATACTCAGATTTTTTGATGGATTTTATCAATGATGCATGACTCTGAATATTGGGGCACAGAATATCAAAACAAAATCTTTGTACAATTTAGTAAGTGAATTTTGTAATGGTCCGGCGTGCTAATGATGTCTTAATCTGAGTGAGGATTTTTAGTGTAAGGAAAAGCCATAAAACCTCAAACTCTTTCATGTCTAGTTTTTGTTCAGACTTGATAACTCAAAGCCCCACAAGAGAACGACTATGTAAGTGTTGACTGAGAAAGAGATTCCCATTGCCCACAGGACCAAAAGATTTTAAATTTTTCAACAGTTGTCATCGATGATTGAAATTTTGTCATCATTTTTCTTTCCACCACTTCATGAAAGTCTACATTTTCTACTCAATTTACTATTATATTACCATGCAACAAGATACATTAACCTACAAGAAAAATAAATTTAGGTTTTGTTTTTT